TTGTTATCTCGTTATACTTATGTATGGAATAAGTATTTATAAGATAAATACTTATAAAATTTTAAATTCCGCTGTAAACTCTGTTCCGTACAGTATATCGAACCCAACAGCTATACCTATTGTTAGAGAACAATGAAGAGGGACTCCTTTTGGATAATGATCCAATAAGCTATGATGAGGCAATGTCGGACATTGACTCAGATAAATGGCAAGAAGCTATGCAATCCGTGATAGACTCCATGTATTCAAACAAAGTATGAACTTTGGTTGATCCACCACAGGGTATAGTACCCATAGGTTGTAAATGGGTTTACAAACGAAAACGTGGTGTAGATAGAGAAGTTAATACTTTTAAAGCAAGATTGGTTGCTAAAGGTTATACTAAAAAACAAGGTATTGATTATGAGGAAACTTTTTCACCAGTAGCAATGCTTAAATCTATTCGGATATTGCTAGCCATAGCTGCGTATTATGACTACGAGATATGGCAAATGGATGTGAAAACTGCTTTTCTTAATGGAAACATTAAGGAAGACATTTATATGAAACAGCAGCAGGGTTTCATATCCAGTGGGAGCGAGCAAATGGTTTGTAAGCTTCAAAGGTCCATTTATGGACTTAAACAAGCTTCGAGGAGTTGGAACATTCGGTTTGATGAAACAATCAAAACGTTTGATTTTCATAAGAATTCGGATGAACCATGTGTTTATAAGAAGGTTAATGGGAATGCAGTTGCATTTGTTGTTCTCTATGTTGATAACATCCTACTCATTGGGAATGATATAGGAATGTTACAATCAACACGGACATGGTTGTCTAAACAGTTCTCCATGAAAGATTTGGGTGAAGCTTCTTTTATCCTAGGGATAAAAATCTACAGAGATAGATTTATAAAGATGATCGGACTATCCCAGTCTACGTACATAAATAAAGTACTAAAAAGGTTTAGTATGGAAGAATCCAAACGTGGATATATTCCAATGAGTCATGGGGTTTCACTTTCTAAAACGATGTCTCCAAAGACACCTGAAGAAAGAGAACGGATGAATTGTATACCTTATGCATCAGCTATTGGTAGCATTATGTATGCAATGTTATGTACAAGACCTGATGTGGCTCATGCACTTAGTGTAACGAGCAGATATCAGTCTAATCCAGGTGAAGAACACTGGAAAGCCGTTAATGTTGGTGTTATATACTTAAGCTTTGCTTTAGTGGATATTACACTTGTTATTCCTTGATGAATGAGAATTATGTTTGGTTAAATAAGTTCCACGTTTAGTTGTTTTGCATGTAGATAAGTGGGTCGTCATCGGGCGTACCGAAGATCATTATATCAGTTACTTGCAAAACAATAATTGTTGGTTCACAACCTAGATGGAATTGAACAACCCATCGGAACGGT